CCCCTTTTAAAATATTACATTTCTTAATTTTTAAATTCATATTTCGTAATCGAATATATGTCCTAATTCTCACTAAACAGTGAATGACTGACCGTGGAAATATTTCTTCGTTCACCTTCGTTTGGACAGAACTGTAAACACAAATAATAAATTAAAAACTGTATATATATTTAAGTCTTTCTCAATTAGCGTTATCGTGTTGATATTAAATTTAGTTTTCTCCATTTTGCAATACTTTCTTGCCAATATTTCTACATTTTTACTGTTTACTTATACATAATACATAATTAATTACATAATATAATATTCCATTCTGTGATACTATATTCCACTTAGAAAAATTATTTTTTATCATTTTTTTTATTTCTCTCTAAACTAAATTTTTCTACTTATATCGTTCTTCAGCGCAGTCCTTGCATTTCACTGATTAACCCGTTATGACAGATGAGACTTTCATACATTGCTATACTCCACATAGTACAAAAGCTTGCAGCAACATTGGCCAGTATTTAATAGTCAGGTCTTATATTTAAGGTGGTCTTAAGTTTACCTTCAGATTCTTTGTAGCCAATAAAACGATCTATAGAGCATCTGAAGATAAACTTACGACGATCTTAAATATAAGATCTGACTATGATACAGGTCATTGCAAATGTTGTAATAATGTACATGACAGTATACATACGCTTCGTGTAAATCGACATCTTCCATTGCTGCACTGTGATCGCTTTCGTCTTGTTCGGCAGCTTCTTCAGAAGTAAAGGAAGTTAACCTCACACTGCTGTCCACTGATTCCTCCGATATTTTTGCACACTTTTTTGCAGAACAGACTAGTTCAGCGTATGTTGGTATTCCAACGCAACTGTCATAACGAAACAAATATACAATTATAAATTGTACATCCATATTATTTACGTATCATTCTATTTTTTGCACAAATGAAATATTGACGTATTAAAAAAGAAGTCGTATACTCGTACAAACGTTTGGAAATATTTGATACAATTATAACAATTACCAGGGCACTTTTTCTTGCTGTTTAACATTTTTTGACCAACAACTCAGAACTCTCTTCTGTCTTTTTTTTTCCAAAATGAGGTACAGTGTTGGAAGAGACCCTTTTTTCAACCGACGAATCATTCGTGGTTCCACATGTTGCGATCGTGGCTGCGTTAGTTTATTTTCGAAACAGTCGGGTGTAAAATGCACTTCACATATTGCAGCTGAAAATAATATTTTTAACATTACTTCATGATACACTATAAATACTTTAATAAATACCATAAAAAGATAACAAATAT